AAGTAAAATAAATAACTTTTTTTGTGATGTGTGAGAAGCTAACAAATATTTAATAATAACACATGTTTATGGTTGGAATCTAGGATAATTTCAAATGAAACCCTCTCTATCTCATGCTTTCACCTTAATTAATTAAATTTCAATAGAGGAGTGGGGTCTGTAGAATTACGGTTAAAAGACATTTAATCTTGAAAGATCAGCACCCATTGAGAAGCACCAGCTTTAGATCGTGCAAAAACAAGAAAAGAAGCCACGAAAACAAGGAAATAAGAATTAAAGAATTAAAATTATCTAAAAATTAACTACATAAAGGGAAGAGAAGCTTACATGGGAAAACTTAGAGTTGGGGCCGTATCAAGACCACATGTTCATTTACACCTTTGGCGCCTTCTCTTTTTATGGAAGAATTGGCTTTAAAGGTTTGTTTTGGACCTAGGATTTTTTATTCCTAGAGTTTTGTAGATTTCATAGAGAATTCTGATGGTAGAGAATTTGGGCTTGTACAGAAGAACTAGGGACTCTAGCCTAAGGTTCCCCAGATTTAGAGTTCAGTCAAGAGGGAATTTGAATGGATTTTCTTAAGAAATTTCTAAGGATTTGGTTGTCTAAATTCAAAGGAATTTTTTAGATTTTCTATGGATCTTTTATGTTTTTTTCCGAATTTTATAGGGATTCTCCTGTGATTTTTGATTGATTTGCTACACAGGGTTAGAGGGATTCATATAGGCTTTGAGGTCCATGTATCTTCTAAAGAATATTCTAAGGCTAGAAAGGGTTTAGCGGGGCAAAACACATCCAAGAGCTAACCTAGAACATCCCATTAATTTCTGGAAAGCCCCAAAACATTCCAAAATTTTCTGAAAAATTTTATGACAGTGTCGTTAACAGTTTCCAAGTCATAAAAGTTGTTCCGGAAATTTCAAAAGTGTTCTAGAACTTTTTGGATGTTCTAGGTCGGCTCTTGGACTCATTTTGACCTATTAAACTCCCTTCAAACCTAGGAATACTTTCCGGAAGATGACTAGACCCAACTCTATATAAACCCCCCTAAACTCCATAGAAAATATCCAAAAAATCCTTGGAAAATCCTAGAAAAACTTAAAATTCCTAGAAAATCCCCAAAAAACACTAAAAAATTAGGAATACAAAAACCCTAAAAAATATTAGGAAATTCCCTAGAATTAGTAATTAGGAAACCCTAGATCTAGTAAATATCCAAACCTACTTCCTACAATTTCCATTGCCAAAAGGCCTAAAAAAATAAAAAATTCTCAGCAAAACATCCAAAAAAGGAGAAGGTGTGCACAAAGAACAGCCTGATCCAAGCCCCCAACTCCAGGTTTTGGAGTTTCCAGTTAAGTATTTTCTTTTATTTTTAGTTAATTATTAATTTTCTATTCCAACAGTTTAGATCATTAAGTTTGAACTTTTAAGGATTATTTGGTGTGAAAACTTGGCTTACACTTGTGGTGGTTCGCAAAAAAGTTTCTCAAAAAAGTTTGATCTTTCGAGATGAAAAGCTCGCCTTAGATCCATAATTTGACCGATCCCCACAATCTCTATCGATCAAAAAAATTTAATGTATTGTGCACAAATCTGAGGAGATTTATACTGTGGTCTCTTTTAGATTTGACACAAAACCAGTTTGGCACCCACAGTGGGCAACCCCAAAGTAACATTCAAGGTTAGTCGACCACAGATTTGAAATCCTACTGAGTTCCGAAACTAAGAAAACCAAGAAATATGATTTACATAAAATCACACAAGAAGCAAAGAATGTTGATTACAACTTGAGGCCTAGAAACCTCAACTTCATCAAACACTCCAACACCTAGCATATGTTTAAATTTTTTATAAATAACATATTAACAATGCTAACCATACGCTTCGCTTTTGGCTTGGTGTCGCATGTCAACACGTGTCGACACTTGGACACATGTCGACACTTAAAGACACATGACTGACACTTGACTGCACATGTAAGATCAGGTCATCACTTTTTAGTACATATCAACACCTTTTAGGTAAGTGTCTTGCATTTCACCACAAATAAACCCAAGGCTCTCATGGTAGAGTGAACTAATGTTTCATGACCTAAAATAAAGTTCTGAATCTTAGCAACTTAAGCCTTGTTTTGTAAGCTTAATTAAACTTAATTTTTTTAATAAATAAGAGCAGTAAAATAATTGTCACTAGACATCTTGCACCATTACAGTATGCTCTTTGCAACATTCGTTTGAAACTAGAAGATACAGTATTACAAAAAAGTCTCATGTCCACTTCATGTTGACAGTGGAAGGGCGCACAAACACCCTTCCAAAAGTCCTGATTGAGCAAGGCCTCACGCAATGAACACCCTCGTCTCTTTAGTTTTAGTCTTTTGAAAGCACATTATCTTTTATATAATATACTTGATATCTTTTTTAGAATAAAAAGAATTATCAAGTAACGAGTTTGAACTATTAACTCGCTTAAAGCCTTTGCACATTCTACCGCTACCACTATTACAACTTATATGCAAAACAAGTGGAAACTGCAACATATAATATAATTGTTTCTCACAATAAGGTTTGTACAGAAGTGTGGGGAAGTACTTACATTATAGCCTTGAATACTAGTACCGACGTGTGTCGGTGTTTAGCACTTGGGACCAAACGTTAGGCCCAAAGTTAAGGAGAAGTCCAAATCCATCTTATTGGAATGCAGAAAATAAAAATTTAGAGATGGAAAGAACCAATATGTTTAGTATAAACACTATGAAACATTAAAAACCCATCAAACCAAGTCCAATTTTGTACTGTTGAGAAGAAAATTACAAGTAAAATAATGATAGTTAATAAAAACTTATCACATAAACCAAGACTTAGAACCCACAATGTCATATGTCAAAAAAAGATGGAAGAAAAGATGACAATTGTGATGCCCACTAAATCATTAAGGAGAATGTTTCACATCATTGTCACAATACCATCAAACTGAAACACATACAACACACAAAGCATGAAAAGAATGCTCATCCATTGTCCTATTGTGGGGAGCATGTGATCAAAACCACATGATGTAGTGGAGACTAAGAGGGTTAAAATATCCAAAAAGGCTTCAAGGTTTCACCTTATTCATCCATTTCAAATGTAAAACTCACGATAACATAGTAGCAGTGAGATAGAAGCCACAAAGTAAACAAACTTCAAATCACAGTCCCAATCAACATGCAGAAATCTTATTATAACCTCACAAGTTTCCCACAAGTAAAATAAACAGAAAAAAATATTCACAACAAATAAAAACTTTAAAAAAAAAATGTTCAGTATATATCACAAAGAGAAAAGTAAACATAACCCTTAAAAACAAAAAAAAAAGGATAAAACAACAAAAACGAGGTTAAGGGTTCTTTTTTTCTTTTGGGTGGGTAAGTGGGGACACTAAATAACAAATTGCAGAAAATTTATGACACAAAATTCACAAAACACCATTGAACAAAGCTCAAGATCGCAAGTGAAAATACTACACACAACCATCAAACACAAGCAAGTGCCATGAAAAAACAAAAATCGCCCAAATCCAACTAACCAGGTAAAAAAAAACAAAAAGAATGCAAGTAAAAGAATAAGCACAAAAAATAACTGCATAAAAATTAATGTTCAAATTAATAACCAAACCAACACTATGAAACCGCAATCAAACACAGTCATGAAATGCTAAACAAAAAAGAAGAAAAAACTAATCAATCAAAATCAAATCCAAAACATCAGAAACAATCCAACAAATAAATAAATAAATGACAGGAAAAAAAAAAAAGAAGAAAACTATAACACAATGCATCAATGACAGATGAAAACTCGTCGACCTCATTAAACTCTCACACAATTCATGATCAATGTTGAAAAAAACATAAGGCGACATTCGAGCAGCCAGAGGGGCTCGCCACATAGGTGTGGTGTTGTGTAGGTGCCTAGGCGAAAGCTTTAGTTTCAAAGTGTCCATGAGTGTGCACACATATGCATACTCCAAACACGTATCCCTATATCCCTAACTTGCATGCGGCTGAAACACATAGATAAACAATCAAACATGAAACTTGTCACGAAAATAGATTTGAGGAGATTCTCATGCTTACATTTTATCCCAAAAAAATTTACAAAATCTTCAACGTTTGAATTTTTTTTCCATTGTGAAATAGGCATGGAAATATAGTTTGGGAATTTAAAAGACTCCCAAGACGCAATCAAGGTGGGAGCCTCAGCTGAGGCGCAATGCAGCATCCTAGAAGGGCAGCGCCGGGCATTTGGTCACCCGACTCGCCTTGTTGCGCCTTCCTAGGCACTTTTTAAAAAAAAAAATTGTCATGATAACTGAAAATTTCCTAGATGCCAAAATCAATGACCATGATCCAAAGAAAATAAACAAAAATAACCTCCCAAGCCAACTAAAGTAAATAATCCAAAATATATCTCAAGTAAATATATCAACATGTACCCTGCATTAACAAAATCTAACAGAGTATATTAACGGCCTAACAAAAAAAATAGAGCATTGTCAAATGATTCAAAACAAACAAATTTCTACTAAACAAAACTCAACGTAGCAATAAAAATAGATACCACCCTTCAAATCACGAGAAACCCAATAACCAAATACACATCTAGAAACCTTCTTCAGATAACACCCAAAGGCATGCCAGAGCATTTTCATATATGTTGGTACAATATCAACATACATTGCCAAACAAAAAATCCCAATTACTCAGCAATAGGAATAGATTCCGTGTCAATTAACATGCAATCATTGAAAAAAAAAACAACAGTAAAGAACACAAGCACAGACGAAGAAATAAGCATCATTGACCAACACAAGCATGCAACACTAAAAGAAAGAAAAAAAATCAAAATCATAAACAAAAAGCACGATCCATTCACACAAATAATAATAAATCCCAGAAACAAAAAACCCCAACAACAAGAAAAATATAGGAAAAAAATAAGGGATTCAAAGCAATTGACCTTGACAAAGTTACCAAGGGTCTTGGTCGACCCCCTTGACGAAGTGAAGACATCCTCAATCCCCGCAAACTGCAGCACCTTCTTCGGGACCCTAGCTGCCACAATCCCCGCCCCCCTGGGGGCTGGCACCATCCTCACCGTCACCGACCCACACTTCCCCGTAACCTTACATGGCACTGTGTGAGGCTTACCAATCTTATTTCCCCAATAGCCCCTCCTGACTGGGATCACTGACAACTTAGCCAAAATAATAGCCCCCCTAATAGCAGTGGCGACCTCTTTACTACACTTGACACCAAGTCCAACATGTCCATTTCCATCTCCAACCACCACAAAAGCTTTGAACCTAGTTCTCTGACCTGCTCTGGTTTGTTTTTGAACAGGCATGATCTTCATGACCTCATCTTTGAGTTGAGGCCCTAGTAGGGTCTCGATAATCTGATGTTCTTTTACAGGGAGAGAGTGGAGGTAGATTTGCTCAAGAGACCTGATCTTACCGTCTTTGACAAGGCGGCCAAGCTTCGTAACAGGTATCCACTTATCTTCTTCATCTCTTCGAGGTCCACGACCCCTTCCACCTCGCCCACGGTCGCCGCGCCCGCGGTCGCCACGGCCACCACGGCCAAAGCCTCGGCCGAAACCGCCCCTTTCGCCCCCGCCGCCTCTTTCCGCCATTGCTTGTGGTTGTAAGGTCCCAGAAGGAGTAGAGCAAATGGGTGATTGAAACCCTAGAAAATTAGGGTTGCACTTTGCAGTGTATGGATCAGTGAGTTTGCGTCGGACGATATTGGCATTTATATATGGGCACCTTGTAAGAGGGATCCTCGTGGGCTTTGCATAGTTGGGTTGGGCGTTTGGGGTATTTACGATTGGTTAGTGACTATGATTTTTCCTGAACATTGAAATTTCTATGGTCATGGGTTTATTCTACCGTCCAAGCAATTGACCAACGCTGATGGAAGATGAAGGGAGTACCACTTGGCTCCTACCTTCTGGATCTACCGTTTGTTCACTGCCGCGCTATTTATTCAACGGCAATAGACACGTGACCATAGATTCTTTGCAGTGCATAGATTGTATTATCAATTTGTCAACTGATTATAGGCTTTTTGGTGCAGATTGGTACTCGTTATCTTTAGTATTTTGTTACTTCCCCTTATCCAACCGTCCATTTTGAATGGAGGGCTAACATTGTCCCAATCACAATGTCACTTCTCTACACTATTTTATTTTTAATTTCTTTCTATAAATTATTTAAACACCAAATTTTGGATGTCCGATCCTCTATTAAACTTGCACTAATGAAAAATATTAAAAAAATATGTCCAATAAAATAAAATGATCACAATACCCCTGAAATTTTCATTGATCATTATATTTTATCAAAAAATTATTTTTAATTTTTTTTATAGGTGCGCTCCAATGAGAAGATGGCACGTACCAAATTTAATATTCATACAATTTGTATAAAAAACTAAAAATAAAATACTTTGGGACGTCGGATCTAAGATAAAACGATGAGTGGCTCTCTTTATCAAAATTAGATGGCTGGATGGTGGGAGAAGCATAGATCAGAAGTATATAAACATTTCCCTTCTGTTATTTCAACAAAAGTATAGAAATATCCTTTTAAATTACTGACATTAAAAAACCCCCCTGAAAAAAAAAATATTATATTTATACTATTTAAAAAAAAAAATCAAAATATTATGACTTTTTTTTGGGTAAGTAAAATAATGTGACTTGGAAACTTATGATGTCCTTTGACCCATATTTTATTGAAAAAGTTTTATGACCTTTGGTCCCCTGTGGGTGCAACAAGCACGTAGCCTAGCTGCATTCCAAAGAGGATTATGAATTTTCAAAATCCAAGATACAACAAGCATACAGGTTTGCTGCATGCCAATATACTCCATTGAGCATCTCGGATTTTGGAATTCAAAATTTTCTAAATTTTGGATTTTGAAAATATGAAAATCTTTTTGGACACTTTTAAAATAAAATTTGTTACACACGGGGCTGGACCGCATTTCTACAATATGCGGTCCAAAGGAATAAAGCATCCATCTTAAAAATGGATGCAAATAGGTGGTCCATCTAAAAACAATTGTAACTAACTATCTAAAGGTTTTCTCAATATAATTATTATTTATAGTTTTCAAAATTTATTTATTTTTCATATTCATGATCTCCATGTAAAAGATTATATATTATCTAAAAATTAGGACCAAATTATATTTAAAAAATATATTTATTGCCAAGCCCGCGTTTGTACATGTGCGGGCTTGATTGCATGCTAACCGCGTCCTTTCAAAAAAGGGGTGAAAGAGACGGAGTGTAATTTTTTTCATGAAAAGGGTTAAAGGAACTTCAGAGTTAAAGTTTCGAATTAGGGCATGTTGTGAAAAAAAATTGATATGAATATAAAATTCAAATATTTGCAATAAAATTTAATAAGGTACTTTAAAGGAATATTAGAGTAAATTTCTCTAAAAGTAATACTTTTAAATAATTATATATTGTTTGGTAGTGTCCATAATAAAATTATCTGAAATATACTTACATATAGTTTTACAATTGTCTTTTTTTTTTAAAAGCACTATTTTACTTTATTCGCACTAATTTGATAAAAATCACTTTTTCTTTTTTTATCATAAATAGCTAAAAATAATTAGAACTTTATGATAAAAATATATAATAATGTACATAATGCAAGTTACGTGCCAAACAACTAATAACATCATTTACTTTTGCTGTAAGGATTCATGATCACTCTTGTCCGTCAGATTTCAAATCCATGGTTGTGAGTGTATATTTGACAAGGTTTGAAATTAAAAAAAAAGTTTCTCGAAGTTCACGATATATGGAAAGTTGTCCAATTCTTGGTTTCAGGTTACTCTATTCCAAATAAAATTACTTATTGTCCAAATATTCTATATGACAAATTTGATAAGAAGAATTACAAGACACCCCATTCGGAAACTTGTTTTTCTATATGGGTTATCAATGAATACAACTATCCAATAATGGGGGGAGGGGGACTTCTACAACTCCGAATAAGATGTGAAGGGAATCAAGAGAAGATCAAATATTGTTTTTTTTTTTTGATGAAAATTATCAAATTTATGGTTATAAATTATCTGTATTGATGAATAGGCAGAGAAGAAAAATATAAATGTTCCTTCATAAGTGACGTCCAAATTTGGCCTCAAAATTGTGGTACGCATATTGTAATCTCATGGACAATGTTGTTTATGATGTTTCAAGCTATATTCTTTTTATTTTTTTTCTTCTTTTTTTTGGAGAAAGGCTCCAAGCTATATCGACTATTCATTTCCCATGACGACGTGATGAAATGTGTCAATAAATGTTATCTCAAACCATCCATGGGTGCCAATGGACAGTAGACATATTTTTGGGCCCCATTTGGATGTTCAATAGAAGACTAGGGACCTTGGGTGCTTGGTGCAAGAGCACCAGTCTGGGCCCGTCCCAACAACCAGGGCCCATTTCCTTTCTCATACTTCGATACTAGTTTTATTTTTTCGATGTTAACAAAAATTCATTTGTTATAAGCACAATTGATGTTCAACGAGGTTGGTGTACAAAAAATGCTGAACAAATTAGTCTCAAGTTTCTCTGAATAGTCCCTGTGGTAATATATAAAGGGTGTAGTTTGTATAGAACCAAGGCTTTAAACAATAAAAGTAAAGCACACCTTCAAATAGTGTTGAGAAATGTGGTTTTACTACTGGAAATCTTTGTGATAGCTTTAAAAAAAAAAAATTTCATATTTAATTATCAAATTTAAAGCTTAAAAAATAGTGTAGATGGAGCAGATCTATGAAAATTTTAAAATCGTGAAAATTGATGGTTCAAAAATGCGTTACAAGATGCACTATTTCCAAAACTTAAAACCTTTTTTTTTTCTTATGTCCATGCATCTTGATTTTGAGATGATCAATTTGAGGATATTTGAACATAAAAACAACCTCTTCTAGTGAAATTTTTGAGGTGACCTCTAATTTGATTGTTTAGAGCCTTAGCTCTATATAAACTTTTTTTAAATATAAATATACAAACTAATCTTATATAGATATAAGATATTACAAAAAAATAATCATAGACAACTATACTACATCTACGGTTACATTATATACCTTCCATAATAACCCTATAAACGATATATACGTTCCTCAACAATTTATACACTCAAACGAGAAGGGGAAACAAATTTTAATCTCAATTTGGTTGAGATGATCTGCTCCAGAGTTCCTTTCTCGATCGACATGCTGAAAACCTACTTCTTACTTCTGAAGTGCATATCAAATCCCATCTACTACTGAAAGTATACTCCAAGGAGTCAGAGCAGTCCCTTTATTATTTTTATTTATTTATTGACGAAATGCCGATTTACACTAATTTCTTTTGATGTTTCTCTATCCACACTAATTAATCATCATTGTACAATCACCCTCAACTATAACTTTCTCATGAGCAAGAAGAAGGTAATTAACACCATACAAAACTACTCTCTGCATGATTAGAAGAGCAGTGGCCACAAGGACCTGTATGAGTTATCGAACTTCCATCAGAATTCAATTTAATCCAGCTTCTTTGTGAGAGAAGCCATGCATCAGATTTGATGTTATTATTTTCTTTTGATCTTGGTACTTGGAACATGTCATTTACAATATCTGTTTTCAACAGGCCAAAAAAAATCCATCCTCACTAAAGCTCACTCGTCAATTGAGGCCCTAAACGGGGGTACACTTATTTTTGGAAATAGGACCTTGCTACATTGTAAAAAAAAACTGAGATATACCAGAGTCGAAAGACAAAGTATAATACAAAAAAGCTTAAAATCCAATTTCAAACAAAAGAGCGATGTAAAAACAGGTGGTTGTACTTTGTTGCCTCACCAGCCTTTCACATAAGGCAATTGTTTGGTATGAGTAAAACCCTCTTTCTTAGCTGCTCAACAAAAAGAGATCTATTGTGAATTGCTGCCATAAAAAAAGTTTGTGTTTTGTGTATTAGAGGCACATGGAGATGTTAAGAAAGGGTTGGAATCAAGGATTTCAGGGAATTATGGTTCAGAATTTCACCCATACATCTATGTATTACAATGTCTTTCTAAAAAAACATTATCTCTCTCTTGTAACTCACATGTCCCTCCCTCTAATCCTATTTATAAACCTTCCTCTCTCCACGCATTTCCAATGCGATAATCTATACACACACTCAAATTTGTTTATTTCTTCATCTGATGCCCTCTCTTTCCACAACCAATACTACTTCTACTCATATAAAGAAAGAGGTTGTCACTCCGCAGAACTCGTTTTCTCTCTCTCTCTCTCTCTCTCTCTCTCTCTATGGCAAGCAAGCCTGCTACTCTCCCAAACTCTCTCTAGAAAGTGGGCAAGCAGACCGCCTTATTCATGGGGTTAGGACAGGGGGAGAGCTAAGTTTCTAGGTTATGATATATAGTTTGTAGATAATAATATACATATATGGAAATGTATATGATGAATCCATTACAAGATGATCCCAATTAATTATGACTATTGAATGTGAAATTGGATGATTATATCTATTACATTGACTAAGCACAAAATTCAAAAGACATTTTCTTGAACTTCTGACACATCCAAGCTATTAAATATCACATAAGATGTTCATAAGTAAATAGTATTCTATTAAGGAAAAAGTTGTTTTAATGTCGACAAAAAACTCTAATTGGTGGTCTCAACATCGAGATGTATGAATATAAAAAAAAAATAAAAAAACGGATTTTGTGTCCAAAAAATAGAGCATCTTGCAATACATTATCTAGACCGTCCAGTTTCAAGATTTTCATATGTTTATAGATCGCCTTGATTTTAACCACTTTTAGAGTCTAAAATTTTATAATTAGATATGAAAATAGATTTTGAGATAATTCTAATAAATTTTTTCACCAAAATTATATGTTACAATCTGGAGGTACGCCTTAATTGGATTGTTTTAGGTTGCAACCTTATAAAAACCACATCCT